ACAGAATCCACCCCAGTGCTAATGGACTGCCTTCAGAAATAGAAAAATGGAGCTAGATTCTACCTTAATAAAGCCACCTACACCCTGATTGTCATTTACCTGCTTGCTAGCACAACCATCAGAACTGTATATTTAGTTTATTTCCTTGTTGCTGAGGTAAAATTACTACAACAAAAGAAATTTAAGAGAAAAAGGCTTATTTTGGATAATAGTTCAAGGGTACAGTCCTTAATTATAGGGAGTCAAGACAATAGGAGCTTGAAGCAGCTGATTACATGACATCCAAAAAGCAGGGCACATGATTGTAAATGGAGACTGCTCGTTCAATTCCCAGCCACCCAGACCCGAACAATCACACAGAAACTATATTAAATACAACAAAATATATTAATTACAACACTATATATATATTCCTAGCTAGCTCTTATATCTTAAATTAACCAATTTCTATTAATCTGTGTCTCGCCACAAGGCTGTGGCTTACCAAAAAGGTTCCACGCAGTTTTCTCCTTCAGCAGCTACATGGTATCTGCCTGCCTCCACCTTTCTCCTTTCATTCAGTTTAGTTTTCCTGCCTAGCTTTGTTCTGCCCTGCCATAGCAAACTTCTTTATTACCCATTGGTAATACAACATATTTACAGCATAAAAGAGGGGAATCCCACATCGCATGGCCATATTCATAGTGGGCAGCTCTTTCTACCTGTAACCTAATAAAGATAGCCAGTTATATCCATGTCTAGAGGACCATTTCAGTTTCACAAAGTTAGCAATTTCACTTAACCATTACAACAACAATCTAAAGTTTCTTCCACATATTATTTGATTTTCAATATGCTATCAACAATTCGTAGATATGTAAAAAAAAAATGTGGCCCAGCATCATTTGAAAACTCAGTCAATGGCAGCAGACCTGTTGGTCAACTGATACTGGAATTTACAGAAATGTACTACAAAATCTCTGTGTAAAACCTGTTAAGAAATTTAGATATAAGATATTATAGACATAAGATATTTAGATATAAGGATTAATAGGTTTTAAAATTTCAAAAGAGATATAAAAATAGTAAGAAAAAGGACAATAAAATCTCACAAACTTCACTAGAGTGAAAAAAGTGGTCTATTGGAATTTGACAGATTCAATACATCTTAATAATAAAAAAGACAGTTAAAACCAATAAAGGACGTGAGTAGGCACTCCATCTCTTAGCACTTGGCAAGATACTTAACCTTACTAGCCATCAGTAAGGTATAAATTGAGTATCCTCTGTAGCTATTTGAATGTTAAAATCAGGAAGATGGAGAGAAACAAAAGATAGGCAAAAGGATGCCTGACTGCAGTTCTCATACACTGCTGGGGGCAGAAAATGACGTCATTGCCTGGGAAAAGCATGCTTCTTTATAAAGTATGCAGAACCAACCCAGAAATTTTATTCATAGAAAATGAAAATATAACAGCAGCCAAAAATTGTATACAATGTATATTTATTTAAAATCACAAGAAATCTCTGAATAATTCCTGTCCACTCAGATATGAATAAAGAAATTATGGGCTATTTAAAAGCAGACTATTTATAAAGAATAAGATAGAATAAAATCATAATACATGTGATTTAAAAATTCTGCTGATACAAGATCCTCTACCTGAAGTTTGAAATATATAACAGCTAAAACTTAGTCATAACCACTGAAGTACTAACAAGTGCTCCCCCTCCTAATGATGGTAAGAGGAGAATTCAGATGGAAAGGACACGAGAAGACATTGGCGTGATGGTAATGTATCATCTTTATTGGTGTCACAGTACTGTCCATAAAAACATTTGTTAAACAACATCAAAGTGGCATATTTATATTGGCATATTTGATTGTATGCACATAAGAAATCATAAATAGAATTAATGGAACTAAAAATGTAACAATGTGATAACATAGTATTATATTCACATGCAGGTTAGATTGCCAGATTTGGATACACTCTGAACTATCTATAATCTGAATTAAAGATATAGAAATAACTCTGAATTATAGATAGTTCAGAGTATAATCACCACATCAGAAAAGAAACTGGGGCTCTGAGACATGTTGCAAGTTCTTTGTGGATTTAAGAAAGATGCTAACCTAGGCTAGGCACTCATGAAATGGAGATGATCCAATTAGTATTGCCTTAGAATGTTGTCCTTGGTGTAATGTCTGGGATGCAGATGCGAACAGTGCATTTAAACAGTAGTTGTTATTATTAAATGGCTTTTTGACTGCACTGCCATTACCCTAACTCAATCAAGAATGCGTGTATAACCATGAGGATTTTAAGAATTAGATATCAGCAAACTACATTAGGCTACAATCTAAATAATGCAGACATTTGATAACGTATGATTAAGTATACTCACAAATCCTATTTTTGTTATCCATCTCAAACCAAGCAACTATCCCTTTGTCAAGAAAAAAGAATCCAAAGCTGTTCTTTGAAGAGCTTATAAAAAAAAATCAAGCACAAATATTTAGGACGTAGTTTTTTCTTAATAGTCTTCTTTCTCTTGTCCCTGTCTCTTATTCTTGTCATTAGAGATGTGCTTCTTTCCAGTACATACATATTTACACATACACATGTACAAGAGTGTAGATGTAACTATATATATATAATTGTGACTACACTGTCTATGATCTGGCTAGTTTTGGGCAACATGACACAAGCTAGAGTCATCTGAGAGGAGGGAACCTCTATTGAGAAAATGCCTCCAGAAGATTGGCCTGTAGGCAAGCCTGTTGGGCATTTTCTTGAGAAGTATGGGAGCACCCAGTCTACTGTGGGTGGAACCATCCCTAGGCAGGTAATCCTGGTTTGCATAAGAAATCAAAATGAGCAAGCCAAGAAACAACATTCCTCCACTGGCTTCTGCTTCTCCTCAGTGTTGGACAGTTATCTGGGAGTGTAAGATGAAATCAATCCTTTCCTCCCCAATTGCTTTTGGTCATGGTATTATTACAGAATTAGAAACCAGACTAAGACAATTTGTGTCTACAACTGTTTTCTAAACCAGGCATTTGCACATGAAACAATCTTGTCATGATAAAGACTGTTAACCTAACACTCCATCTACTCTTTTTAATAGCTGCAGAGCAGACTGTGGCAGGATGGAACTTTATTTACCCAACAAGTTGTCTGCTTATGAACACAGCATAATTTCAGGCTATTATTCTTGCAGAATCAAGTGCAACATCATCTGCACTGGAGCTGATAACTTTATGTGATACATTTTACAAAGTGAAATTGATATTTGAAGACCTTTGAGCAATTATTTCCAATCTTTCCTTGCGAGTGACAGAATTTGTGTGTGCATGAACAGTGGGCAGGGCATTGGCATTCTGTCTGGAGTGGAGTGTTTGGTGGTTTTTATAGTCTTCTTTATGTTTCCCATTTGCTGGTAAAGAGCTGCTTTTAAATTTACCCAACTCCATGTTAAGCTATTCAAGCTAAACACCATCAGTCTAGCACACACCATTGTGTTAAGAAACCTGTTGGATGCCTCCTGTGCACCCAAGTCCTTAAATCCTTGCACAGGTATGTGAGGTTGTACCTCTAACACCAATTCATTATAAAGTAGAGCTTAGTACAGCATGTGACTGGTAAAGATCACAGAGAGGATTTCACCCCGGGTCTGTGAAGGGTGATAGTTGAGAGCAGTCTGGAATACATTCATTTTGATAGGAGGGTTTTTTAGGGCTAGGCTCGACCAAACGCCAGAGATATGTAAGTGACAAGGCAGGTAAGCTCGAATAAGCTTCTTCCTTTGGACACTTGATCAGCGGCTGCTGATGTCTTAATAACAGTCAGTGGCAACAGAAGTCACCTTGGCTATCAGACAGGCTGTCCCCTCAGCACTAAAGTCTGTCCAGTGTCTAGCTTTGTCTTGAAATAAAACAAAATTAAGAAGAGTCCTCATCAATTGCATGATGGCATTGACTGTGGGGTTGAAGAGGGTGTTAAAAGCTCTCAAAGATACTGTGTTTTGTTTTTTTTTTTCCATTCTAGATTACCCTGACTTCTACCTTGGCTTGGTTTGCAAACTTGAATTTTCTTTCTGCCCACAGAGCAGTACATGTTCAAAAATGACTAAACAGTTACCTGTTTAAGTTCCTAATTTATGTATCCATGAGCCTTTAGCCCTCTACCTCAGCTCCAGCTTCGGATCCCTGCACCGAAGGTGTTGATTTTTAATCAAATCAGCGCGGTGCTTCTTGCCAGGGTAGCTGTATTCAAAGGGCCCAAAGGAGGAGCTACAGCTAAGGATGCCTGAGGGCAGAAAGCTGGCTCTTTAGCAGAGTAAGAAAAGCTGCCACTGCTTGGCTTTACTTTTGTGGCCAGCAAGTCAGGTGCAAGGTCTTCCAGGTGCTTATAAAGTCCCATCTACCCTTGCGTTGTCTATCTCCTGCCTTGCTGGAACCTGATCACGCGCACATTGTGCCTGTGAGAAACAGTTGTCTAGAGATTTGGTTCTTATTCGGGTAGCCTTGCTTTTGCCATCTCACTTTTGAGATGAGTACACATGTGCCTTTCCCCCCGTAACCTCATTTAATACTGGTGGTGTGCTGAAAACCATACTTAACAGCTCTGAGGAGACAGTTACCATTTCTTCCTAAAACTGTTTTCATTGAAATCGGATGTTGGCAGAAAGTGCCTACACCAGTGAAATTATTCGATCTGTCGGGGGCTCCTCCACCCCAAGAGAACCTTAACCAGCCACACACCACCTGCATTGCTCTTCTATATCTTTTATTATGGGGTGTGGAGAGAGAGAGAAAAAGAGAGAGAGAGAGAGAGAGAGAGAGAGAGAGAGAGAGAGAGAGAGAATTATATCATTGTATCCATCACTAGTTTTCCCTCCACGGAGCTATGGTTTGGGGAGGAAGAAACTGAGTTCCTTTTCTCCTGTCCATTGAAACTTTTATTTCCAAAAGGTCAAACATAGGTTAACTTTGTTCTCTCTCTCCCCCAGTGGATGGCTGCATCCATAGAGCGGCTGGTCCCTGTTTGTTAGCTGAATGTCGGACCCTGAATGGCTGTGAGACTGGACACGCAAAAATCACATGCGGCTATGACCTCCCTGCAAAGTGTGAGTATGGCATGCTTGGCTTCAGTTCAGAATCAATTGAGACTGCCAGCCTTGCCTTTTCCCTCGAAAGAATGCCTAGAGATGGAGACAGTTGAGGTGGGATTTAATTAAATATGCTCGTATTCCGATTTAGTGTGTAGGTGCATGTTTATCTCTACGATTAACTAGAGAAAATTTCAGTTGTTCAGTTCTTTAACAATGTCTCTGAAACTGAGAAATAAAAGCAGTAGCAGAATATACGTTCCAGTATTTAAGCACCACCGGTGACAGTTTCTGGAAATGATGCCAATTTCTCACTCCTCGTTCAGGTTTCTTGATTGTGGATGTGTTTAGAGCAAAGGAGATCAAAGTGATGTATTGTGTTTTCAGCTGCCATGTAAAGGCTGATTGGCAATTACAGCCCAGGCATCTGTCACACTCGGTTCTCAGGAGAAGCCAATGGAATGTGGTTGTCAGTCCGAGAATATATTTGCTCTTTGAATGTGGAATGGTCGAATTTTCTATTATATTTGAATAGAAAAATGCATTGCAATTGACTGACCTTGTTGCTTCGGTGTTTAGCTAACTGCAGTGGGGTGGTAGAGAATAAAAAACAGACAGAAGTGATTAAAAGTGCACCTTTTAGAATTATATAATTTTCAGGGCCTGGGGATAAGGGAGGGTTTGTGCTACACCATTAAGGTGTGCACTGACCTGGAAACCGAGACGCCAATTTAATCTATGTACTTGCTTCTTAAGAGACTGCCCTGATCTATGAACACATTTTATGCGAGGGCAAAGCTACTTTTGTTTGTCTTTTAGTAGTGAAGAAAGCAGACTAGAAAGGTACAGCATAATTTGTGCGATATTGTTGACCTGAATGGACAGGGTATGTAAAATTACATTACCCAAGACTATCTGTGAATGGTGACATAGTGTGTTTTCTTTTAAAGGTAACTTTAAAAATTGTGTGTGTGTGTGTGTGTGTGTGTGTGTGTGTGTATGTGTGTCTGTCTGTCTGTTTGTGTAACACCCATGTTCACAATGGCATTGGGAGTTTGCACTTTGGCTCATAGAACTCATGACCTTAGGATTAAAGGTGATTTTCCTTCAGGGATTCTATAGCTCATGTTGGCAAACACAGCTCTTGAATCTAACATGATGGGACCTGTGAGATGAAGCTGACCTGTACCACCCTGAGCAGATCAATTACTTTCAGGCTCGTGTTTGTCCTTAAACCAAATAATAAACTAGGTCTTCCATTGAATTCACTACTTTCTCTGTAAGAAAACAGACAGAAAAATTCTCTAACTTCGAGCTTTCTGAACACTGATAAACTCGGAATCACTACATGGAGTCAAGTAAAATGATTGTTTTGTGTATTATCTGAGAATGTGTGACGCTTTTCAAAACTGACTTGGCTGCTATTTGGCATGCCTGTTTACTAGATATCTCATTTCCTTTGCATGGCATTCTTTTGATTTCAGAGTCATTGAGAATTTACCTAGGGTTAGGCACTAAGGCACGGGGATTTGCAAGACGATGTTTTAGAAGTTGTCATGTTTGAAACCTGTGTTTGAGCATTCGTGTGGTGTGTGACTTTCAGAAACATTTTAAAGCAAGTGGGCCACATGGCCCCCAAGACTCTAGACATGACCAATTTGCCTCCAGGTCTCAGCATGGAATTCCTACTCCAGTCATGATATGTAGCTCAATGGCATGTGTGCCATTTTGTGTCAACTTAACACAGGCTAGAATCATCTGAGAGGAGGGACCCTCAAGAGAGAAACTGTATCCATAATATCTGGCTATGGTCAAGCCTGTCAGCGCATTTTCTTAATTAACACATGATCTCAGGCCATTATACTTGGGGCCTGGTGATCCTTAATGTTGTTTTAAAAAAAACCAAAAAACAAAAAACAAAACAAAACAAAAACAAAAACAAAAACAAAACAGGCTGAACAAACTACAGGGAGCAGGTAAATAAGCAGCACTCCTCCAGGTCTCTGTATCATCTCCTGCTTCCAGGTTCCTGCCCCGACACTCTTTGATTATAAACTGTGATATGCAACTGTACACAAACCTTTTCCTTCCCAAGTTACTTTCGGTCATGGTATTTCATTAACGAAGACAGCATGTCTGTGCAATAAAGAACCTTTCAATGGGATAGAAAATAGCACTCCAGTATGGCAGCCACCTCATTAAAAAAAAATCAAAGACATGGACTGTCAGTAAACATATTTCATACATTTCAGGATTTCTCTGCATTTTAAAAGGTTAATGATTAATAATAAAATCATAAAGAAAAGGAATGTGAAATTGAATAATAATAACTCATACTTGTATTGTACTTTATAGTGGTTCATAGATTTTTTTACAAGCCATTATATTTTAAATTATGCTTTATAAACATTGTGTGTGTTCATTTCCTTTTCCCTATTCATGAGAGATAGTTTTCTTTTCCATCAATGTGGATCCTCCATTTCAGAGTCATTAGCAATCCACAGATGTGCTTTTGTAGTGAGAGAATGAAAAGGGAGCTCATTACATACTGTTTGGGTCATTTTCCCCTCCATATTTAATAATTCTGTGACAGTTTGACAGCAGAGACTAGCTCCTATCTGTCCTCTGAGACAGTGGGTTCATCATTATAGGGGCACTAAAGCCAGTCAACCAGCCTCAAGTGATGATATCTTCATGCACCAGCAATTTGTTTTGAGGATGCTTTTGTCTGGGTTACATACTGTATTGGTCATTTTGGACTGTTCTCTGCTTTTCTATGCTTGCTAAATTAATTTATTCATGAATGGTTGTATTTGAACTAATTATACTTGTAGTCTGTGTTCTGTGACTTATCATGATGGGTGGAATGAAAAGCCCCTGGATGGTCTCTCTTTCTTTCACTGCCTGTATGTCTCAATGGTTTCTTTTGACATAAAACTAACCAATCACTTCTCTCAAAAGAAATCATGGTACAAGAGTATTGACTAGAGCTTCATTGAAAACTGTTGCTTAAGAAATATATAAAGGGCTATTTATACAGTTTCAATCTTGAACAGATAGTCCCTTCTGTGAGATTAGATTTTTTTGAATTTGTGATAAAATGTGTATACCTTTAGAGAAGCTTTTCACATGAGAGATATTTAAATTTCCCTATCTGTTGTAGAACTCTGTCCTCCAGGCTTAGCAGCCATTGCCAGCTTAGAAAACTCATGAAAAACCCACAATAGGCTCTCAAGATTGTTCCTGTTGACTATACTTCATAGTAGGAGGGGTAGGGAGAGTCATTTGATGCTCACCTGAGATCCAGCCACTCCCTCCTACATCTTCTCCCAAGCTGTATATGGTTCTGCCCCAGTTGCACATACCAAGTCTGCATCTTGGTATGCGTGAGGATACGTAGAGGGTAGAATGGTTAACTGGCATGTGGACTCCATTTGTGCAACTTGGGCAAGTCATTAACCATGTTAAGGTGAGACTTTCTGGTGATTTCACTGTTTTGGGGTTACCTAACTGTCTAGAAACAACATCTTTGTCTGTTTCGGTGCCTATCTGTCATGAGTAGAGGTTTGTTCAGGTCTGCTCTAGAAAGTCCATACAACACTGTCAATATTATAGTGTTCTAGTTTTGTCATTAATTATTGTAAAAGAATGAGATACCAAGTGAATGATTTTGATCAGGACCCTTTCATTGGAAAAATAGTTTGTTAACTGACTCCTACTTCTCAAGCATTCCATTTTGCAATCCACTTTGCACCGTGCTCATGGAGCGGGGGGCAGGGGGGGTCTCTGTCCTCAGTTGTCAACAAGGGTATGCATGGTGGAGACTCTCCTTCCCCACTGTGGCCTCCTTCTGTATTCTCTCATATGCTCCCTTGCTGATCCTCAGTTCTAGGTATTATTGTCTCCTTGTCTGGAGTTCTATTCTAGACTTCCTCATTACTGCTTCCTTTATGTTCTTCACACTCTAGCTGACATAGTTATCCTGGCTCTTCTGTTCATCTGTCGTTGTTGTACTGTAGCATGCTAACTTCAAACATGCTGTTCTTACTTCTTTTTGTTTGAATGCATCCCTTTACCAGAATAAGGGTGTAGACTTTGGAGTTGGGATTATTTTCTTTATTTTTCACTATCCATGGAAGTTCTTAAAATGCCCCAAACATGAGAAGCTTGAAAGGTATTTCTTGAAAGGGTGAATGGAAGTAAGCGCCAATATTCTGACATATCTCTTTTTCAGTTAAACATTGATTAACCTAATTTTCTTCAGCTTTCTGTAATAGGCCATCATATCGTGAACCACTTAAAATGTCTTGAATGGTATAACTTGCAGCATGTTTCCTTGTATCTAGGAGTGCCTATGATTGTCTAGAAAGCCTGCTCTTTCATCTTCTCTACTTATCATTCAGACTCAACTCAGCTATTATGTCTGTTTGAAATGAAGTCACACCACCTCAACTACAAGTTCTTTCTTCAGCATATTGCATGTCAACACTTTGCATGATGCTTCTTTTCTTTGTTATAAATGTCTCATTGTTGTGTGTATGCTGCATGTAGAGAGAGCTAGAGGACAGCCTTCTTTGTTGTTCCATAGGAGTCATGTACTTTGATCTTTCTTTAAGACAGGATCTCTCATTGGTTGAGAGCTCACTGAGAAGGCCAGGCTGGATGGCTAGCAAGTGCTAGGTTCCTCCTCTCTCCACTGCCCCAGTGCTGCACAGTTGCACACCATTATACCTTTTTTATGGGTTCTTGGTATAAAACTGAGGTCCTGATAATTTTGTGCAAAGCATTACTCTCTGTGCTGTCTCCCCAGCCCAATGCTGCATCATTCTAACATATTCCGGGTACTGGAGTACTCTCTGTCAAGTGAATTAACTGGTAAAACTGGAAATTGTCATCCAATTGGTAAAAGGTTAGACACAAAAGAAAAATTATGCTAATATTCCTGAAAATAACAGAATTAATGTCAACTATCCATTGTATCTTAAAAATGGTTCAGCATATATGCAGTTCTAAGGTCT